AGAGCTCTATCATCTCACACTCAGCTCAGAAGAAATCACACCTTGCTCTCCCTTTCCTCAAGTTTTATCCAAGAAGTACCCTTCTCCCCATGGTAGCCTATCACCTGCTCCTAGATAGGACAAGAAGGAAAAGGTGGATCCTCGTTGGTCTCCTCTAAAGCACAACAAATGGAGCATCTCAAGATCAGTGACATGAGTTTCCTCCCCTCCAGGTTCTTGATGGATTGAAGGTCATTGCTCTGAGGTCCTGTTATGGACTAAATTTTGACCACCTAAAAATCATATGTTGAAGCTCTAACCTCTGATGTGACTATACTGGGACATACAATCTTTAGAAAGGTAATAAGTTAAATGAGGTCATAAGGGTGGGCCCAAAACCTAATAGGACTGCTGTCCTTATATGAAGAAGAAACATGAGGGGTGAGCATGCACAGAGAAAAGGCCATATGAAGACACAGCAAGAATGTGGCCATCTGCAAGCCAAGGAGAGAGACCTCAGGAGAAAAATAACCCGCCAACATTTTAATCTTGGACTTCTAGCCTCCAGAACTGTGAAAAAATAAATTTGTGTTGTTTAAGACATTTAGACTGTTGGCATTTTGTATAGCAGCCCTGGCAAACAAACAGAAGTCCTGTTGAATTTTACACACTGGCAAGGATCCTAACTGATCTACTAGCCGACAGGAGATCTCTCCAGATGTCAGGGACCTTAGGCCCACCTGGGACCCCCAGGTTTCAAAAGAAGACCCAATCTCTACCCTAAAGCTTGTGGCATTAACCCTAGATGATGTGTAAGTACCGTTTCTATTGTAAAAGTTGTGTGCTGTGCTGTCAGATAGCTAACTTGTAAGAAATTTACCTCTCAGCTCAGTAGCATAAGGGAGGTCTTTGTTTTCTCCTCAAAATGAAGGTCAAAGATCCTACCAGAACCTTCAGCAAAGCATAATGAAGCCGGATACTTGGTTCCTAATAGTAGCAGATATATGCCTTAAGAGACCCATATCTGGACGTCATTGTCTTTTCTACTCCCGATGTAAATTTTCTAGAATATTATTTAAGGTAAGGTTGCGGATTCTCTTGAGGGTGATACAAAATAATCATGGGTGTTTTAATCTCTCTGAATTTAAGTATTACCCATTGAAACAGAGCCCCTTTTTCTCTCACTTGCTCATAATGACTCAAAAGGGAACCAGTGAACTGAAATATTTCTTCACCAAATCTACAAAGTGGAAGCTCTGTTGTCCTACATGAAAAGGGCTGCACATTCTATTCATATCCTTCGCCCATTTTTGAATGGGCTTGTTTGTTTTTTTCTTGTAGATCTGATTTAGTTCTTTGTAAATTCTGGATATCAGCCCCTTGTCAGATGGGTAGACTGCAAAAATTTTTTCCCATTCTGTTGGTTGCCAATTCACTCTACTGACTGTTTCTTTTGCTGTGCAGAAGCTGTGGAGTTTGATTAGGTCCCATTTGTCTATTTTGGCTTTTGTTGCCATTGCTTTTGGCATTTTGGTCATGAAGTCCTTGCCTACACCTATGTCCTGAATGGTTTTGCCTAGATTTTCTTCTAAGGTTTTTGTGGTATTAGGTCTGATGTTTAAGTCTTTAATCCATCTGGAGTTAATTTTGGTGTAAGGTGTCAGGAAGGGGTCCTGTTTCTGCTTTCTGCACATGGCTAGCCAGTTTTCCCAACACCATTTATTAAACAGGGAGTCCTTTCCCCATTGCTTGTTTTTGTCAGGTTTGTTGAAGATCAGATGGTTGTGGGTATGTTGTATTTCCTCTGAGGCCTCTGTTCTGTTCCATTGGTCTATATCTCTGTTTTGGTACCAGTACCATGCTGTTTTGATTACTGTAGCCTTGTAGTATATGAACAGATACTTTACAAAAGAAGACATACAGGAGGCCAACAAACATATGAAAAAATGCTCATCATCACTGGTCATCAGAGAAATGCAAATCAAAACCACATTGAGATACCATCTCACACCAGTTAGAATGGCGATCATTAAAAAATTGGGAAACAACAGATGCTGGAGAGGATGTGGAGAAATAGGAACACTTTTACACTGTTGGTGGGAATGTAAATTAATTCAACCATTGTGGAAGACAGTGTGGTGATTCCTCAAGGACCTAAAAATAGAAATCCCATTTGACCCAGCAATCCCATTACTGGGTATATATCCAAAGGATTATAAATCATTCTACTACAAGGACACGTGCACACGAATGTTCATTGCAGCACTGTTTACAATAGCAAAGACCTGGAACCAACCCAAATGGCCAACGATGATAGACTGGATAGGGAAAATGTGGTACATATACACCATGGAATATTATGCAGCCATCAAAAACGATGAGTTCACGTCCTTTGTAGGGACATGGATGAACCTGGAAACCATCATTCTCAGCAAACTGACACAAGAGCAGAAAATCAAACACCATATATTCTCACTCATAGGCGGGTGTTGAACAATGAGAACATATGGACACAGGGAGGGGAGCACTACACACTGGAGTCCGTTGGGGGGAAATGGGGGAGGGGAGGGGCGGTGGGGAGGTGGGAAGAGATAGCACGGGGAGAAATGACAGATACAGGTGAGGGGACGGAAGGCAGCAAAGCACACTGCCATGTGTGTACCTATGCAACAATCTTGCATGTTCATCACATGTACCCCAAAACCTAAAATGCAATTAAAAAAAAGTTTTATTTAAAAAAAAAAAAAGAAAGAAAAGGGCTGCACATTCTAAAGTTATCTTGCTCAAGTTTTCACTGTCCAATTACCAGAACAAGAGTTTGGAGATTTTTCACTCTAAACTTTTCTTATTCTGAATACTTTCTAAATAGGCTTCCTTTGTAAGCAATGGTTTGCACTGAATCAATTGCTTACACGGGTCACGTTTTGACTAGACATTCCCCGCCTTTGGGCAAATGAGTTGCATCATAATTCAATTTGAATACCTCAGAGTCGTCAGCCAGCACCCTCAGCTCTGTGAGGCAGTACTTCTAAGGCAATAGCAGCTACTGTCTAAGAGCTAAATTTTTTTGCAGAATGCACCATAAATAAATGATTTCTATTTGCCTTCCCAAAAGCAAGGCTTTTGTGACATTGAACAAGACTTCTCTTGCAAGTTGTATTTTCCATCTCACAAAAGATTTCACAAGGAAGTAGAGTTTGGGGACTGCTTCTCCACTCTTGTGCAACCCACATGTCCTCATCCACACACTGACTCCTCAACAAGACACCATAGACACCATGTTAACAGTTGGTAGGAAAAAACCCTTTCCTTTAGGATTTTACCTCTTTGCTATACCCCATGGCCATCCAGAGTAATCAAGCCACATTACTTTCTTCCCTCTGGGCTCTTCTTAGGTTTTTCTTACCATTCAGTTCAACCTATTTCCAAGTGATGGGAAGGGGATAGGGCATGAGGGTTCCCTAGGATATGTCTAGTATCTTTAAGACACTGAGACCTTTCCAAGTGCTATGATTTGAGTGTACCCCCCAAAGTTTTTGTGTTAGAAACTTGATCTCCAATGGGAGGTGGGGCCTAATGAAAGGTGATTAAGTAACGAGGGCTCTGCCATCATATATGGGTTAATGTCATTATTGTGGGAGTGAATTAATTATCTCAAGAGTGAGCTTGCTATAAAAGCTAGTTCAGCTCTCTCTCTCTCTCACTCTCACACTTCCACCATGAGCTCACAGCAAGAAGGCCCTTTCCAGATGCTGACACCTCGATATTGGACTTCACAGCCTCCTGAACCAGGAGCCAAATACACTTCTGTTTTTCATAAATTGCTTGTTCTGTGGTATTCTCTTATAGCAGCATCAAATGGAACTACAGACTGAGCACCTAGATCAGAGTTCTCTAGACCATCTCCTGAGTATTTTCATGCTACACTTCTCCACCTCTTCCTCCACTGTGAGTCAGTACCAAATGCTGTCTCTCTTTTTTATCCTAGCCATGACTCTGGATGGAGAAATAAGATTTAAAACACACACACACACACACACACACACACACACACACACACACACACACAAACTTACTGGAATATATAGAGCAGTTACTTCATGCCAGATACTGTGATAAGGGCTTCAGAAACATTATGTCAATTAATCCTCACAACCATTATTCCCATTTTATAAGTAAGGATATTGAGACATACGGACCACACAAATAGCAAGTGGAAAGCCAAGGTTTGAATCCCAGTTTGAGGTCCAAACTGTGCGCTGTGAACAGGACTCATGATGGCCAAGCACAATACTACAATATTGGAATTTACACTCTCTGAAGTTACTATTCAGGGAGAGATTATTTAGAAGTATCAAGTCAGATAGTTTCATATTAAATCTGGTGAGATGTTCTCAACCAGAGGTTACATGCACCCCTTCTCCACCCCCTGACCAGGAGACATTTGGCAATGTCCAGAGACATTTTTGAATGTCACAACTGGAGATTGCTACTGGCACCTAGTCAGCACAGGCAAAGGGTGCTGTGAAAAATTCCACAATGCACAAGATGCCCTGCCCCTCCCCGAGAACTGCCTACGCAGCAATGTCCACAGAGCTGCGATCCTGACACCAGCTCTAGGGTTTAGTTTGGTTGGTATATTTTCCTCTCTCCTACTCATTCTTCTCTTTGGATTTTGATTCTCTGTGCCCATTTTAACAGTCTTGCTTTATGTTAATCTTTTACTGTGACTCCCAGGTCCTTTTAGGAAACAAGGGGAGTGTGACTGAAGGAAAAACTGACATTCAAAGAATCTCCTGGGAAAGAGCACCCTGCTTGGAACAAAATGCTCTGTGCACACTATTTTGGGAACAGTGACCCAACAAGTCAATTGTCTGTCACACATCCAATCACACATAGTGGCACTGCTTCCTGGAATCCCGTCTCAAGAAAGGGGCTGGGGGTGAGGAGAGTGGTTACCCTGGAACATACCATTTCTATGAGAAATCTTGAAAGGAAAAAAAGAAATGAAGACAACAAACCTGTAACTTGATGCCAGCCTGAAATCCTCTTCACTAACCATAAATCAGAGAAAGTGAAATGATTTCCATCATACTCATACAGCATGTTCTCTGGGCTTTGCAGAAACAGAAGAGACAATGTGGAGAAAATGCATCGTCTGTGGTTCTCAAATCAAAGCCTAATTAGTCAGAAGATAAATTTCATGGGCTTCAGTAATAAAACCTATGTTTCAACCATGCCTACATTGGACAAGTCCTAAAAGTCAGAGAATGATAAGACAACTTTAGTGGAGAACATCTTTGTTTACATTACATTACTCACATGTAAACTTTGAAAGCATGCAATCAAGTGAATAAAATATTTTAATTGGCCTTTAAAACATTATTATAAGAGCAAGACGAAGTTGTTTAAAGTGTTGCCTGGCTGGTCTCTGGTTTGGGCAACTCATTATACTGTCTTAATCTTGTAAGATTTATTAATGGTCATATGCATTTCTCTGAAAGGCATTCCAGATTTTACCCAATTCTGGGTAAAGGTTATTTATACCTTAGAATGCTCTTAACTGCTTCATATTAAAGAAAAATATGGCATAAGTATTGCCTCATCTAATGTCTTTTTAAATTATAGTGTTTTGGCGAGTTTTGCCCATTCACTTCTTTAAGCTTGGGATATCTTATATCCCCTTCCCATTCTCTCAAAATGTTCTTTATCACTCAGACTCTAACTCAGATACCAGTTTCCCCATGAATCTGTCCCTGATTCCCACATCAGCATTAACCAAATAGCTTCTCTGCTCCCAACCACATTGCTTCTATATTCACTAAGCATATATAACAATCATTTTGCTCTATATTATAGTTGTCTCTTCTTTAACTAAAGTACCTTCAGAGGGAAGATGGCATCTTATTCATTTCATATCTGAGGAAACTGATAGGGTGTCTGGAATTAGCATCCAATAACAGTTGATTAAATTATATAAAATCATTTGAGTTTTATTGAATAAAAATGCTTTTAAGTTTGTTCTCTTGGTTTGTTTGAAGTAGTTTGCTCATTTCAATAATGACACAAGATTACTTAGAACAGGTAGTTCTAGTGCTTCTCCTGTTCTAGATTTAATTTTGAGTTTCCACTGGTGCCAAGTTATGAACAAAACATTTTCTGATGCAAATATTGTCTCAGATTGGGCCCACACCAAATACCAGTTCAAATAGGTGAATAACACACTGAATATTTGGCCTGATTTGGGTGCTTGCAGGCAAGCTAGTTAACAATTAATTAAAGCAGGATCTTCTATATTTACTTTATTTCAAAATTCCCTGACTCATTCTCTCCCTCTGCAACTCCCATTATCAACTAATGACATTTAAATACCTAATGCATACTAGGCATCCTTAACAACTAGAAATACAGAACTCAGTAAGGACACAGAACTGACTTCATATAAACAAATATAGAAACGCGTTAATAGAATAGTCTCTCTTTTAATATCTAAAAGATTGGAAATATTGTTTAACAGAAAATATTCACCTAGAATGTGACTTGGGTGGGCAAGTAGAGTTTGTTTCCAAGAAAAACAGATACTATTCTAATAATTGCATTTTAAATATACACGATGTACCTGAAATCCAATAAATAGTGCAGACCAAGGTCCCTAGCTATGCATGGGAAGAGACTTGCAAAGATTAATTCAAAGACAAGGATCATCTCCAGAAAAATCTCAGCTGCAATGCTCTACCATTCTTCACGATTTCTACCTGAAAACCAGAACCTCACCAATCTAGTTTGATTTTGTTTTCTTATGACATGATACTCGATGTACTCTAGCAGGAAAACTGCTCCCAAGCTGCAATTTGTGGCGGAATTCTGCTTGCAAATATCAAGAATGGTAAAAGTCTTTCTGAAGCGGTGAGTTTATTTTCACAGAGAAGGAAATAGGCCACAATTTAAGAGTAGATTCCCAAGTTTTCCTTATCATTTGCTATTCTTACACCTGCAACACTGGCTAGAAACCTATAGACCTGGGTTATGGTCCTGTTTAGGCTTTTCACAAGTTGTATAAGCTTGGGCAAATTACTTAACTTCCCAAACCCAGTTATATTATCTTAAAATAAAAGAGATTGACAAGTTTATCCCTAAGAAAGACTCCAAATTTGGAGGCCTCTGCCTACTTGGTTTTTAAGTTCAAATGTCTCATGTCTCAGGTTTCTCCTGGAACATCTATTACAATATCTGAAGAATCAAGCATACCTACTAAAAACTGTTACCAATACTAAGACATGCCCATAAAAGCCAGGTATGGTGGCTTACACCTGTAATCTTAGCATCCTGGGGGGCTGAGGTGGGAGGATCACTGAGGCCTGGAATTCAAGACCAAGCTAGCCAACATGGTGAGACACTGTCTTCACAAAAAAGTTTAAAAATTAGCCGGGTGTGGTGGCACATGCCTACAGTCCTAGCTACTCAAGAAGCTAAGGCAGGTTGATCGCTTGAGCCCAGGAATTCAAGTTTACAATGAGCTATGATCGTGCCACTGTACTCCAGTCTGTGTGACAAAGCAAAACCCTGTTTCTAAGAAAAGGAAAAGAAATGCCAATATACAGAATAATTCAGACTTCCCTTGAAATATTATAAATTAAATTAGCAAATTAAATGTTGTTATTCCTTCTCTCTAGTGATATGATGATCTCATAAAAACCTTATCAAGGTCACTAAGAGTAGAAATATTTTCCTACTTCAAATCTATTTTTGAATATAGAAGTATTGTTTATTTTGAATCTAAATTATGTATTCCTGAGTAGTATGTAGCAATTAAAAGATGAGCATCTTTGTAATATTTATATTTATTTAATTTTGAGAAGATTATCTCCTCAACTTATCTTCAACATGCATCTAAATTTAGATCCATCTTGTTTTTAATGATTTCATGAGGAAAACCTGGCAGAAAAGAACCCCATAAGTGGAAACTAATGTATTCCAGAAAAAAGGGCTTTCCTTCAATAATGGGAAAATTTACAGTGTAAGGAAGGAGGCTTTTCAGGCAGAACGCATCTCAAATTCCTTTTATTCATTTTTTTATTCAATATTTTTGCAAACTTGAAGAACTGAAAGTAACATTAGAGATAACTGCATATCACTCTTATTTTGGAGGTTAGGAAAATTGAAGCCGTGATTTATGGCTAGAGTAAATGGGTGACAGACATTGCCATTTATTGAAATTGAGAGCTCTAGAGATGATCATTTACTGAAATTGAGAGCTCTGGAAATGATGTGCAGGTGAGAATGGGGACAGAGTAAAGGAAGAGGAGAAAGGATGAGTCAAAAGTTTGAACTTGTTGAGACTGAGATGTCTGCAGAGCATTCAGGAAAATATGTCCCGAAAAGGATAGATATACAGGTCTTGAGCTGAGGAGAATTTAAAATGTATGTGTGTGTGTGTACATAAAATATTGAAATACACACACGTGTGTAAAATTGTCACTATGTCAAGTGTAAGCTTTGGCCATGGCCATGAATGAGAGATTGATAAACAGAATGTAAAGGAGACAAACTATCCAAGGTCAGAGAAAAACCCAGAATGAGGTTTCAAGGAAGTCAAGAAATAATGCTTTTTTTACCCAACAATGTCAAATTTTTCTGTGAAGTTTAACAAGAAAGATAGAAAAGTATCTGAATTTAAGGACATAAAGGGCCATTGTTGACAATAACATGAGTTGTTTCAGTGGAGTGATGAATACTGAAGCCAGATTATAAAAGATTAAATAAATGGTGAGTGAGAGAGAAGAAAATGGAGACTAAGTATACACAACGCTTTCAAATTGTTATTTAAGAGAAAGAATTAGACAGTAAAGTGAAATAAATGGAGGATTTTATTAAGATGGGAGTGACTGTTAAAATGCCATTGGAAAGGATTCAGAAGAGTGGTGAAAATCGGAGAGGTGAGAGTAAAAAAAGGAGGTAAAACATAATATGCAATGGCTTTTAAGAGAAATTGGCAGAAAAGGATCCTGCAGAAGAGTTAGAGGTTTTAACCCCTTAAGTTCTGAGGGGGAATGGGTCCCTTTTTAATTCAAGAGATGGGGAGAAAAGTCTAACAAAGACAGGCTACACTGAGAAGAATGTGTAGACTTCTGGGCGTTTCCAGGGTGACACTTCAAGTCTGGGAACAGGGTAAGCAGCCCTGATTAGGATTTCTTCTCAAAACCTAAAGCATGAAGCAAACATGAAAGAATTTCTTGTGCCTTCTACAGGCAACCCAGCTGAAGTCAAGGCTCACACATGTTTTAACATAAGAGTGGATACCACAGAGCCAGTGGGTTATCTGTCTGACGAATCACTTGCACCAGCCTGGAATGAGGTGCAATTCAGAGAATTCTTGCTCTACTAGTAGGTTGCTGTGTATAATCCTATTCTGAGAGAGGCTCACACAAGTGTGGTAAGAGTAAAGGTAAGACTGGACTGTGGTTATATTAGTCACGGTTCTCTAGGGGAATAGGACTAACAGGATAGATGGATATATGAAAGGGAGTTTATTAAGCAGTATTGACTCACACAATCGCAAGGTGAAGTACCACAATAGGCCGTCTGCAAGGTGAGGAGTAGGAAGCCCGTCTGAGTCCCAAAACCTCAAAAGTAGGGAAGCTGACAGTGTAGCCTTCAGTCTGTGGCTGAAGGCCTGAGAGTTCCTGGCAAACCACTGGGGTAAGCCCAAGAGTCCAAAAGCTGAAGAACTTGGAGTCCAATATTCGAGGGCAGGAAGCATTCAGCATGGGAGAAGGATGAAGGCTGGAAGACGCAGGTGGTCTAGTCCTTCCATGTTCTTCTGCCTGCTTTTATCCTAGCTGCTCTGGCAGCTGATTAGAAGGTACCCTCCCAGATTGAGGGTGGGTCTGCCTCTCCCAGTCCACCGACTCAAAAGTTAATCTCCTTTGGCAACACCCTCACAGACACACCCAGGAACAATATTTTACATTCGTCAATCCAATCAAGTTGACACTCAATATTAACCATCACAGTGGTTATCTTATGTATTATTGAACACGTTTTTCACTAAAATGTGTTCATTCCATTTTCTGTGAGCATTCAGTAATCCATTGGAATGTTTTTGATGCAAGTCACAAACTATCCAATTTGAAGTAGTTCAAACACTAACAAGGCTTATGATATGGAAATGAAGTGGCAAAGCAATATCATCAAGAACCCTTATGCCTTCTCTATGTCAGTTTTGTCACCCTCAGTATGTCATGTGATACCTTTCCAGTCCAATCATGGCATCAGCAGCATCAGCCAACAACTGCAGGCACAAAAATACCCAGCAAAGAGAAGGTGACTTTCCTCCTGTATCTCAATTGTTTTTATCAAAGAAGTTTCCAAAAGCTCCCCCAACTGACTTCTCCTCTGGTCTTACTGGCTAGATGTAGTCACATGCCCATCCCTAAATCAATATCTACAAAGAGAATAAGTCCATCATGACTGCCTTAGCCATCATAATTCACTATCTGGGGTCAGGAGAGGTTGTCGTTTACCCTAAACTCATGGCCAGGTGACACCAGGATGAAATCAAGTCTCTGCCCTCAAGGAAAAGGGGATGAGATGGCTTAGGGTAGACAAACAACTGTCACAGCAGAATTAAAGAACACATTTGGAAGGAGAGGAGGTCTAGTCACAAATGAGGACATTTGTTATTAGAGTATAAACTAGGCTTGTCCTCCCAAAGATGAAAGATAAGGTCACCAAACAGTGTTTGATTTCAGAGATAACTTCAAAAGCCTAGCTAGTGAATTCATTTATTAAACAAAGTTAATGGGGTATTTGTATCTATGTGACATCAATAAAGCTAAAGAAAATTTCCTAAAATTAAATAACATCTTTACTTATGAACAAGACTTCCAAAATCCCATGAGAACCTGTACTTTAAAAAATAAATGTTTACCCTTGAACACATTCTCAGTAGTACAAAAGAACTGTCCTAAATTTTTTAGTGTTATGATTTTAATTGACAAATATTATGCATATTTATGATGGATAACACAATGTTGTGAACTAGGTATACATTGAGAAATGGCTCAGCTTTTATATAACCATAATCACCTCCTTACCCTGTTCACTCCCACACTCCCAGCAACTACTAGGCTACCCTCCAATTCTAAAATTTTATCAAAATATTATATAAGTAGGATCATATGATATGCAACCTTTAGGTGTTGCCTTTTTTTCTCATCCTAATTCCCTGGAGATTCATCCAAGTTGTTGAGCGTGTTCGTCTTCCATTACTTTTTATTGCTGAGCAGTAGTCCATGGTACAGATGTAACTATTCATTTGTTAAAGACAAACAAAGCTTTTATACACATTTATCAACATGTTTTTTATATGAACATGTTTCAGTATGTCTAGAACCAATGTCCAAAAGTGCAATGGCTGTGTCCTATGGCAATTGGAGGTTAGTTTTCTAAGTAAGAGGCTAACAAACTTCTTCCGAGTGTTGTCCCATTTTATATTCCCACCAGCTATGTAGGAGTAGTTAAGGTTCTCTGCAGCCTTGCCAGCGTTTGGTTTCATCACCATATTTTAGCCATCAGATAGGTATGCACTCGTATCTCACTGTAGTTTCTAGCTGCACTTTCCCAATGGCTGACAATGAATATCTTTTCATGTACCTTTTTGCCATCTTACATCTTTTTCATTGAAATATTTATTCATGTATTTTGCCCTTCACTAATTATTTTTTTACCTGACTTTTTTCTTCATATATTGGGGTTAGTTGATTTTTTATATATTCTAGAAACAAGCCTTTGCTGGATATTTGCAAATATTGGTTTGCAAATATTTTCTCCCAGTCTATGTGTTACCTTTTCATCCTTTTCACATGGGCTTTCACAGAGCCAGAGTTTTTAATTTTTATGAGATCCAACGTAATTGATTTTTCCTCTATGCATCATGCTTTGGTGTTCAAATCAACCCAAAAGAAAGCCATAGGACGAGGAGACTTGAAGGTAGACATTAAGATTAGCCTCCTTAACTCCTTAAAAAACTAACAATAGAACTACATATAATTCAGCAATCCCACTTCTGGATAGACTTTCAAAGGAATGGAAATCAGAATGTTAAAGAGATAGCTTGCACTCAAACATTCACTGCAATATTATTTACAGTAGCCAAGATGTGGAATTAACCTAAGTTTTCATCAATGGATGGATAAATAAAGAAAATGTAGTATATATACACAATGGAATACTATTCAGCATTTAAAAAGAAGGAAATTCTGTCATTTGCGAGAACGTAGATGAACAGTGGAAAACATCATGGGTAGTAAAATAAGCCAGGCATAGAAAGAGTAATATCATACAACCTCACTTACGTGAGGGATTTTAATAAGTCAGACTGTTAGAAAGTAGAATGATGATTGCCAGAGGTTGGGAAAAGGTTATTAGAGAGATGTTGGTCAAAGGGTATAAAGCTTCAGTTAGGCAGAAGGAATAAGGCTTTTAGGTCTATTGAGCAGTAGGGTGACTATAGTTAATAACAATGTATTGCATATTTCAAAGTTGCTAAGAGTACATTTCAAACATCTTACCACAAACAAAAACAAAAAAAAAAAAAAGATGGGTAACAGAAGTCCTGTGTCTCCTTGGGTCATTTTCTCCTGCCATGTTTCCCAGGAAGTTTTCTCCTAGACCTTTTCTGTCATCTTTCTTCTCCCAGTTCCCAACTTCCCAAGCACCAAAGGACAATTCCAAGGTGTCTATTTCTTACGAGGTGGAGGAATTTAACTCCAACCACTCATCTGAGACTTAGCTCATGGCCTCCTCTTTCAGCATGCAAAAAGAGTTTATTGTAAGAATTTTCTTGTTGGAAAAAAAAAAAAAAAAAAAAAAAAAACCATCTACACATGAGATTAATGCTACTGTTTCCTAAGCATTTCTTTTGTTGCTACATTATTTTTTATTAGACATATAACTCCCTCTGACAACCCATCATCTATGTCACTTTAAACAAACAAAAATCCACAAACCAAAACCTCCCATAGCAGGAAAAGCCTCATTAACCAACAAGAACTGGATTCTCATTGTAAGCACCATAGTTCAGGCCCATGAGCTACGAGCTTACAAGTAGCTAATGAGACTTCACTGGGTTCTGCTCGGGTGACTTTAAGAGACTGACCTAGACAACTTTTAAAGTTCATTCTAACCTTGAGATTCAAAGGGACCACCATAATAGTTAGTGAACTAACATTTTGCTCACTGAAGTAGTCAGACCCATTGTCTATGAAACAAAGCCGTTTAAATCCAAGTCCCAACTCCCTAGAAGTCATGGGAGACTTAAGAATTCCTCTAAACAGAGCCAGACACAGTGGCTCATGCCTGTAATCCCAGCACTTTGGGAGACCAAGGCAGGCAGATCATGAGGTCAAGAGATCAAGACCATCCTGGCCAACGTGGTGAAATCCCATCTCTACTAAAAATATAAAAATTAGCCAGGCATGTTGACGAATGCCTGTAGTCCCAGCTACTCAGGAGGCTGAGGCAGGAGAATCACTTGAACCTGGGAGGCAGAGGTTACAGTGAGCCGAGATCACGGCACTGCACTCCAGCCCAGCAACAGAGCGAGACTCCATCTCAAAAAAAAAGAAAACGAATTCCTCTAAACAGCCAATACAGTTCTTGTGCATTTGTATCTGATTTCATCCTCCCCTTCTGGTGGTCTCTATCTTTCCCTGCTGCCCTGGCTCTTTACCACTACCCCTCCTTGGTGACTATGACATCACTGCTCAGGGACATCACTTATTTATCAGCATAGCCCCCAGACAGGCTACACTTATGCTGCAGTCAAGACTTTTCATTGAGACAGGAAGAGTTCTCTCATCATGTTTATAGATCTTAAGAGTTTCCCAGCCGGGCGCGGTGGCTCAAGCCTGTAATCCCAGCACTTTGGGAGGCTGAGGCGGGTGGATCACGAGGTCGAGAGATCGAGACCATCCTGGTCAACATGGTGAAACCCCGTCTCTACTAAAAATATAAAAAATTAGCTGGGCATGGTGGCGCGTGCCTGTAATCCCAGCTACTCAGGAGGCTGAGGCAGGAGAATTGCCTGAACCCAGGAGGCGGAGGTTGCGGTGAGCCGAGTTCGCGCCATTGCACTCCAGCCTGGGTAACAAGAGCGAAACTCCGTCTCAAAAAAAAAAAAAAAAAAAAAAAGAGTTCCCCAAAAACATTTTCCTTTCTCTCTCTGGTTTCTAAATAACTTCTATTACTACAGCTTTATTGTCCTCATTTTTCAGGTTTTTCTACAAGCCTCTATCTCCAGGAGCATAGAGTACATTCACCCAGGACCAGGACAGCAGATATAAAAGAGGCAACTCATAAAATCAAATCTAAAAGCGCCCTTTTATTATTTGACTTCTTCCTGCAGGTGAATTACCTATCGACTCAAAGCATTCCCTGAAAATTAGAAGACAGTAGTATATGCTTCTGTTCTACATCAGCTTTAGAGGCTTGCAACCTGTTCATCCATCTCTATTATTCTTATCATTTCTCCCAGCAGGATCATTGAGCAGTTGAGCAAATGAGACAGGTAGCTACCCATGAAGCCATGCCAGAGTTTCCAAGGCATGTTCCTGTGTTCAGAGGTCCCCAAGATCACCCTCAGGCTCAATAATTTGCTTGAAGGACTCACAGAACTTCAGAAAAAGTATAATACTCACAGTTATGGTTATACTATAGTGAAAGAAATCACATTAAAATCAGCAATGGTAAAAGGTTCATGGAGCAAACTTTAAGAGAAACCAGATACAAGTTTCCAGTGGTCCTCACACAGTGAATTTCTGTGAACAGCTTAATTCTCCCAACAACAATGTGGAACAGTATGCACAAAGTATTACCAACCAGGGAACTTCACCTGAGTCTTTATGCCAGAGTTTTTATTGGGAGTCATTTATATGGGCATAGCTGTCCACCCACATGGTTGATCTTCAGTCTCCAGTCCCACTAGTGGTCACATTGATACCTGCCTGGCCCAAGGTCAGGCATAATGGAATTGTTTGCATAGATTTTCTGGCTTAGCCCAAGGCCACCACATAAACAGACATGGTTATAAGGGAGGATAAAGGCTTATAGGTTACCTCCAGAGCAAGGGTCAGCCTTTCTTTGGATTGTGCAGGGTGTGGACAATCTGCTGAACTGATCCTTTACTATACGGTTTCATTGGGACCACCTAGAATTCTTAATACAAAAACTACTTCATTCAAGATACAAAAATTGCTTAATCATTAACATAAGCATGTATCACATTCTAGCCATTCTCTCCTTTGACTTTTCAAAATTGAATAGTTTTAATCTTTGCAGCATGTTCCCAAGTGACAGTGACTTTATTCCTTTGGTTATTTACCTTCTTTATTTTGATTACTTTAGTTGACACATAGAGAACAGAACTGCACCCAGAAATCAAGGTGCACCTTATACTACAATATACACATCATGTTAGGAAAATACACTGTACCCAAAATATTTCTGTTTGATTCTCAACATTTATAGGCACTCTAGGCCAAAGGAATGGACCCATATCTTC